ACCTAGAGTCCCACAAAGCACAAAGCAAGCAACATTCAGACATATGAGACCACTCAAGCAATTCTATCCTCATAAGAGGGAAACTATACTAGCATACAATGCTAAGTTCACATTATCAGGCATAACCTAAACATGCTATCCTACTGCTGACTACTCTATGCTAGCATGCAATTTTTATAAGGCTGAAACACTTAAACCAGACATATAAGGCATCCTCCTAGATCCTTAGTTCTATACTAGCATGTTGTTCTACTGAGACTGAAACTGAAGTTGATATTCATAATATAACTTGTATGGGTAATTTAGGAGTACTTACTTGAGCCCGGCTGATCGCATGCACCACACCCCTTTTCTCTTTTCAAACTTTTTATCTTTCAAAAGAAATTCTTTTTACTATTCCAAAACTTTCTTCTTTTGAAAAACATTTTACCATTTCCTTAGTTTGAGTTTAGACACACCCGGAAGTGTGCCCGAATCCCTCAAAACAAGGCTCTGATACCAACTTGTAACATCCCAAAAATACGAGCCAAAATTTTTGTTTAAATAGTAATAAAAATCATATATTGTTTGTCATATCATAAAGACCATGTGTAAAACATCTCAACTCATAATAAAATGTCGTGAAACAACTGTATCAAATCAAACTACAAATCAACAAACTCCCAGGATAAAGACTCAAGCTGTGGTGTGTGCGATGTCATTATCCCGAGCTCTTCCCCTTACTTGCGGAAGTACCTGAAACCAAAACTAAAACTGTAAGCACGAAGCTTAGTGAGCTCCCCAAACTACCACATACCATACAATAACATATAAACACGTATTGGGCCTTGCCTACTGCATCAGGCCGAAGCCCGGAAACTGCATCAGACCGAAGTCCGGAACTGACTGGGACCTTGTCCCTTGCATCGGACCGAAGTACGGAACTAACTGCATCGGACCGATGTCCGGAGCTGACTGGGACCTTGTCCCCTGCATCGGACCGAAGTCCGAAATTAACTGCATCAGATCAAAGTCCGGAAACTAACTAAGCATAGCATAGCATAGCATAAACACATATCAACTAGCATAACACACATGATCATAAACTCATATACTTCATACTACGTCAGGCCGTAGCGCATAACACCTAACACATAAATCATGTCTGAGCCACGAAGGCATCAAACACACTAACAACTGCATCGGACCGAAATCCGCAAACTACTACTAACTAAACGGACCAGCATTGTGCCCTTAGACCCGTTCATACTGGAAGGAAACTCACCTCGTAGCCAAGCTGCTGAAAGGACTGCTCCAGAATCTGTCTGCTGCGTCACCGGTTTCACCCCGGCTACAATATCCATGAGCACCATCAATCAAATATTGATAATAATACTACTGAGGGTAAAATGACTCTCCTACCCCTGGCCCCAGTCAACCTAACTATCAAAGTCAACATTCAGTTGACCTGACTCGTCGAGTTGGGCTGCAACTCGTCGAGTCCTTACTCTTACTTCCTTGATTCCACTCGCTACTACTCGTCGAGTTTTGGTGCAAACTCGGCGAGTTCCCCTTCGCTACTAACACTCTGACAATCTGCATCCGACTCGCCGAGTTGTATGAACAACTCGTCGAGTTCTCCTTCCTCAGATGATTATTCTAGCTGTGACTCGCCGAGTTGTATGAACAACTTGTCGAATCTGTTCTTGAAGTATGAAGATGGCCTTGGACTCGCCGAGTCAGGGCATTAACTCGCCGAGTTCTTCCACGAATGAGTCTAACCCTCTAGCTCACCGAGTCCACTTCTCACTCACTAGTTCCACTTAGCATAACTTGAGAAAGGAAACACAGGGGACTCGCGACTTGACTCACCGAGTCAGAAGAACGACTCGCCGAGTCGTATGCATGCAAATACTATACACTCGATTCTGCTTGAAACTAATCCATGCCATTAATAGATCTGGGTTCCTAGGACTTGATTTACACGTAAAGTTTCCAACTTTACGTGTAAATAACATCAAATGGAAGTTTTAAGGTTAAAAGCACACTATAATATTAGATCTAAAGCTTTCATGCAAAATAGATCCATAAAGGTGCTAGATCTAAGCTCCTGGAAATCAAATCTAGGTAGATCTGAAGGTTAATCAACTCCATGAGTCCTCTATGCTACTACTAAGCTAAGAAATAGTTTAAGAATGGCTTCACAAAGGAGATTTAAGCATAGAAACAGAAAAGGGCCAAGATATACCTTTCATTCTTCTGAAATTCCTCAAAGATCTACAATCTCCTTCTTCTCCTCTTGATCTACCTTTCTTTATCTCTCAAAATCTTCAAAGAATACACCAAAATCACACAAAATGCAAAAAGGGCTCTAGGGTTTCGAGAATGAAGCTCTGAGGGGTGATGGGGGCTGACTTGAGGCCCCCAAAATTTGTTTATGTAGGGTGCAAAACCTTGAAATTAGGGTTTCATCCAGACTGGCGAACTCGCCGAGTCTGGAATATGAACTCACCGAGTCGCCAACTTAAACGTGCTCGAAATCGCGACCCTACTCGACGAGTCCAGCTACTGACTCGTCGAGTTCCCCTTAAAACTTGAAGAAATATAACAATATAAATATCATACCAGAGTTGGGGTGTTACAACCAAGAATTACAACCCTTAGGAATATACTTACAATTATGAAAACTCAAAACAAGTCTATGCACATCATCTTTGACAATCTTCCAATATTTTTAAAAAAGGGAAAAAGTAAATCCATCTGGACCCAGAGCTTTATTACTATCACAATCCTAAACTGCATATCTAATTTCATCCGGAGTAAACTTGGCATCTAAAGATAAAATTTATGTAGAAGAAATCTTATGAAAACTCTAAAAAATAATAAAAGAAAACTTATGAATACTCTAAATAGAAGACTCCCAATTTGCATATCATCTTTAATCCCAAACAAGTCTACGCACGTCACATGCGAAAATAATATATATATATATATATATATATATATATATATATATATATATATATATATATATTATAATAGAGACAAATTTACATGCATCAAATTCATTTGAAACTCTTACTATATAACTCAAAAGTTTTCTAATTTATTTGTACTTATTATTTCAAGTTTAAAACAATTAGTCACTATAAATCAAAAGTTTTTGAACTCATTGCTACCAATTAGTAAGGATTCTTTTATTTTCCTCTCTTTATACACATTTCAACTACATTATTAGCACAAAAGTGAGTTTTGCTAACAAAAATAAAGTGTTTGAAGAGATTTGTGATTTAAATATGAAGAGCTGAAAAGAAGTTTGTCGCATCAATGATTATAGCTATACAAGTTTTTCTTGAGATAATATTGTTTCTATATATTAAATATATGTTCATGTTTATGTATTCTTTTTGTATGTTTTATAAGTGTTCAATATTTTTTTATATAATTTTTGTAGTAGATTTTGTAATGTTTCTATGTTATTAGAAGTTGTAGTATTTTTTTTTTTATGTTTTTTCATACTATTTGTTATTCGTTTTATATAGAAATCAACATAAGTTTGATATATAATGTATACAACTTAAACCAGTCTATTAAATCATCAAAAGTTGTAGTGATTATTTTTTTCATACTATTTATTATTTGGTATATATACAAATCAACATACGTTAGATATACATTTTACATAACTTAAAAGGGTCTATAAAATCATTAAAATCATTAATTAATGGTAGACATAACAAATTATTTAAAACTGCAAGGGTTAACAAACCTAATAGCAAGGTTGTAAAAAACGCTCGACGTTAATCAACCGGTTGACTAAGATTAAAGTATTAATAAGTTTGACGGAGATTAATCGTGGACCATAAATTGCTAATTTTTTCAATTTAAAAAAAATTAAATATGACTAATATCATAACAAAGTTTCTAAATATCACAAATATCATGAAAAATAGATAAATATGATTAATAAATAACTAATTAATCAATCCTTAAATATTTTCTATTGATATAGAATTTTTCAAAATGTTAAAATTTTATTATTTGATGCTCCTTTGCTCGTTATGTAGGTATTGATTCTTCAGTAAAAGGTTTTTAGTCGGTCGGATAGCACTTAGGGACTAATTGGTAATTAACCGGATTTAGTCGGGATTTTTAAAACATTGCCAAATAGATTAACTATAGGTTTGCTTTGTTATTCACATTATTTTTCATTTAAACATTAAATCACAATTTGTTAAAAATAATTACTTTAACTATATAATTATATATTCCTGCACAAGAATTAAATTGTTCAATGAAGATATATACCTTCTTAATAAACTTCAACTCTTAACTTAAATCGGTTAATATTATTGGACAAAAATGGAGGGAGAGGGAATTAATGTATTAAAAACTGGTTTTTTTAGTTGAACCGGTATAGTGATCTGTTTCTGGTTCAACCGGTTTAATAGGTTTATATATATATATATATATATATATATATATATATATATATATATATATATATATATATATATATATATATATATATATATATATATATATATATATATATATATATATATATATAGAAACCGGTTAACCTGGCGGTCGGTCACCATACCGGTTTAATTAAAAAACCAGTTTTTAAAACATTCATTTTTATTTGGTTTAGCCGGTTCAGCCGATTTATTTTGACAGGTTTAACCGGGTTTTTCTAAAAACCGATCGGTTCAATCTGGTTCAAAAATCGACGTAAAACTGGTGATAGTTGAACCGCTCCCTCCCCCGATTTCCGGTCCAACCGGTTCAACCGACCGGTTCAAACCGGTGTTTAAAACATTGATAAAAATATATGGAAAAATACCATTTGCATAATAAAATTTAGTGATTTTTCTCAAAACTATTTAGTTTTTTTTTTCCTAAATAAAAACATATAGGAAATGTTATAAAGTTTTTTTTTTGATATGTTTGTATTCATCTAAAACTATATTTTGTTTTCGTATTATACTTTATTTCTTTTTTGACCTATATGAATTAATGTAAAATACTAAAACTTATGCCTATGTTATTTTAATTTATATATATTGATCTACCACTTATTTTTATATGTATTTTTATTGTTTGAACTTGTAAATGTTCTATATATATATATATATATATATATATATATATATATATATATATATATATATATATATATATATATATATAGGAAAATAGAAAAAATATATATAAAAACTATAGAAACCTGTCAATTTGGCGGTCGGTCACCATACCGGTTCAACTAAAAAACCGGTTTTTAAAACATTGGGGAGAATACAATTAGATATGGAAAATATAAGATAAGAAAAATAGGACACGAAATATTAGCATAAATATAAATATAAGCAAAAAGATTAAATATGACAAAGGAAGATATGATGACATGATTTGAAGGGCATAATTGTAATTACAACTGGAGAGGGGGTGTTTAATAATGAAAGAAGAATATAATAAGTTGAAGGGCAAAGGTTTGGAGAGCTGATATAACCTGTGATCACAAAGCTTACCACTCAATTACAAAATTCCTCTCATCTTCTGCTTATCTTCATCAGAAATTAAGACACTTGCGCTCTCAAAGGTATCTTTTTTTTTTTTTTTTTGTTCCCATCCAAAGCTCTTTGTGTGCCATCATGGATATTTTTTCTGCTGCTTTTATCTTTACAAACAAATATGGTAGGACGTACGCATATTCCTTTGTGTGGTTTTGATCTCTTCAATTCAAAGTTTTAATATACTAAACAACCTCCTATATTATTTATAAAGATATATCATCCATCTTTTGTATACGTAAGTGTGAGAAAGCATATGGATTCGAATCCTTAATTTGTCCAAAACAGTAAAATTATAGGTTTAAACATATGCATGGTGACTCTTTAAATATGGGATTATAATATATATATGGCTATGGTTGGTGGATTAGGTCTACTGTAATATTTGAAGAAAAAGATGGGTTACTGGAAATCAACAGTGGTACCAAAGTTCAAGAAGATTTTCGAGAAGAACAACGTTAAGAAGACGGCTGCTGCAGAAGCTTGCAAGACCTTCGATGACGCTAAGGTAATTAATTAGTATCTTTAATTTATTTTTATTGATTTCTTATAACAAATTTTCATATTTAAAATAATTCACATGCATATTCAGGAGGATTACAGCAAAGAGTTTGAAGAAAAGAAGAGTGAACTCCAAGCTAAAGTCATTGAAATATATGAAGCTTCTTCCGCTGAAATCAAGGTCGTCTATAGTTGTATAATTAACTTTCGTTCACTTAAATTAAATATCTCATTTTTATACAAATAAAAGAACAAATATTACATAAACTAAATAAAAGAAAAATCAAGTTGTGCTTTGCAACTACTTAATAAATATAAACTACAATAAAAAGACAACGACACTCATAATTGGACTCAATTATTGAGTTCCAAATTTCCATATTACTGTTTTTAATTTCTTGAAACATTAATTGTTAGAATAATATTAGCCAAAACAATAACGATTTTTATTGAATATGTGAACACAGGCAGTGGTGAAGGAGAAGAAGGAAGGCGCGTTGAAAAAGGTCTCTACTGGTGTCGAGAAGTTCCTTGAAGAACTCTCTAAAATCGGTAAATTACAAATTACTAAATGAATTTATTTTAAATAATGCAATCACTCATTAATTTACTAAATTTTGTAATATTTTATTGTGTTAGAATTTCCTGGATCGAAACCAGCTCATGAAGCTTGCTGCAAATTCGGCCCAACCTTGGTGGAGGGACCCATTTTCTTTGTTTTTGAGAAGGTGTCGACATTCATTGTAGTCGAAGAGAAAAAAGAAGAGGAGGCTACACCAGCACCGGAAGCAGCAGCTCCGGTGGAAGAAACAAGCAGCAAAGAGAAGGAGATTGTGGTGGAGGAAGAGAAGAAAGAAGAGGTGGTGGTGGTGGCGGAGGTTGAGAAGACACCGGAAACCACCACAGTCAAGGCGGAGGAAGTAACCCCAGCTGAGCCACCAAAGGCTTGCTGAGCTGAAGGTTTAATGGGGGTGTGTGATATCGATGATTTGTGAAAATTAAATTAAAGGTTTCTGTGAATGCATCTGTAAACAAATTTTACTTGGACAAATTTGTTATTCTTTCTTCTTTTTTTTCCATTTTTATGGGGGGTGGGTTACCCTACTTACCCCTTTGTAATACATTGAAAATGTTTTGTTGGGTGTTTTCTTTTTTGCTTTTTGTATATTAATTGTTGTAATTTGTATAATACGTAAACTTATCAAATACAGTTTGTTGCCTTCATTGATTATTCCACTATTTTTATTAGTTTGTGTTGGCATTTTCTTGATTTTTTGCTTCAAATTTTACGGGTTTCTAGTATTTTGATGAACAAATAAACAACAAATTAAACGTTTTTTATTTGATCTATGTAAATTGAACTTTAGTTAGACTCGTATATATGATATCCTCGTATATGATATACGTCCGAGTGTTCTCTCTAAAATAGTAATTGAGCAGAGAAAGTATATTGCAACATATATTGAGGTAAATATGACATTAACAAGGCCCATGAAGCACATGAATAGTAGTTAGATTGGTATAAAATATATGGAGTCTTCATTTTCCTTCTAAAAGAGTTTTTATACAAATTAAAGATGATGGTAGATTCGAACATTCGAGCATTCATGGAAAAAGTCACAATATTTGGTATTCGAAACCTACAAAATTAAGGATGTGAATATAAAATAAATTTCACCTTTATCGAACTTGTTAATAATCACTACCAACCCAAAAACCCTCAACTTGAATTATAAATCTAACAAGGAAAAATGTCAACAAACAATATGAAAACCATTGAAATTTAGTAGGAATATAAAGGGTAGTAAAAATGAAGCAATGAGTGACGTAATAATGGGACTAGTCTACAAAAGGCACGTAACCTTCTTAATTGAAAATTGGAAGATAGAGACCGGAAGTGGGTGGTGGTTGCCTGCACGCAATATATTTCTATATCGAATATCTATTTACTTATTTATTCGATCACAAATAAACAATAAAATTCTGTCTGTGTCATCATCAGGATATAAATTTTCTAATGCTGAGAAATTTTATAATTTGTATTATTATGAGTGGTGGACATAAGATCGGATAGGAAGTTGTTTGACCAATACGGGATACTTCCTTCTTTTTCTTGTTCTTTTATTTTACAATAAGACAATGAATATAGAAATGGAGCGTATTTGTCGATATTATCCAACCAACCTCATCAGAAATATAATCTAGGTAAGGTAACCAATCAAGCAAACAGGAAACGTTTCTAACGAAGAAGACAAAAATTAAGTTGATATAAAACAAGCTACTAAGATTAATTCTTCATTTTCAAGAAAAATCAGTAACCAACATGGTGGCCATTACCAAATAACATTCCACTAATAATAATCTGACAATTTACCGATTACCAACTTCCTACCTTCAAACCAATACATTCGCAAATGTACATGTTGTATTAAACCATTAATTGAAATTGGACTCCAACAAACGGAGGATATATCTCCTTTCTTATCATCTTTGATAGTGTATGTATTTGTTACTAATTATGCGTATTTACAATACTTAGCTTACGCTTAGTCGCTTATGTTAATTATCCCTATTTTAAATGACGCTCTTTATGAAGAAATACAAAGCCTTTCATTCTCTTTTATAGTTATCAAACAATTACTAAAGGGCTGGGAGTCGTTGGAAAGATGTCCATCAACTAAAGGTTAATAGTTTAAGTTTTGCCGTGTACAAGTAGATTAATGGGTGCATATATTAGCTGTTCAAAAAATAAGTTATGATAATAATTAATATATAAACATGCTAAATAAATAAATATAACCGAAATTGTTGCATGTAATAAATCAATAAATGAATTATGAAAACATAAAATCAACCACAAAGATGAACAAAGAAGTAAATGTAGGGCCTGTATGATTTGGTGTTGATCGGATCCGATCAGACGTTTTTGTTTGACTCGGCCTGGTCAGAATGTTTGATTTGTGTGGATTAGGCAGCTGGCTTCGTCTCAGTCCACAAAATTGACTTGACTCGATAAGGTAAAAGACTAACACTGACAGAGACTTATGTTGTGTTTGGTGTGATACAGCTAGCTTATTTTTTAAGCTTTTTTATATTGTCATGTTTGATAAACCAAAAAGTAGTTTACAAGCTAGCTTTTTAGGAGCTTTTTTTTTTTTTTTTTTTAATTTTCCAAATATACCCCTTAATTAATTATAGAAACATATTATTTTCAATACCCTTTTACGTTATTTTATATGTGTTTGTGATGGGTTTAGGTTTATGGCATATGTTACACTTCGCAGACTATTTGATTACATGGTTTTGTTACGGTTTCTAGGGGAATCCTTGATTCCATTTGTTTTGGCTAGGCATGCCAACTTTGATAAACAAAATGATAAATACAGAAGAGAAAAAGGGAAAAGATGACAAGTGAGATGTGAGATGTGCAATTTGAAGGATCAAGAACTTTATAAAAAGCAAGATCTTTGGTAAAGATGATGGTGTGATTGTATGTATGTGTGTGTTAAATGTAAATTTTGTTATTATATTATGGGTGGAATATGAATCTACCTTTGGTTTCTTGTTGCACAAAATCGTTAGTAAATTGATTAATGCATATATTTTGTTATTTAGGATAATCAAAGTTAATTAGTTGTATAATACATGGGTTAAGTGTGATGTTGAGAATCATGACTGTTTGGTAGTGTATTTGTTTCAATAAAATTATTTGTACATATTCATGATGTAATGTTATAAGTTAAATGGTAAATTATAAATGAATTACTATAAAAATTGCTGTTTGAGGGTAGTATATTAATTTTGCACAGTCAGTCAGTTGAAAAATCAAACAACAAGTTTTATTCAGAAGTTAAACCCGTAATAACTTTTAACTTGGTCAACTTTTAACCTAGTCAGCTCTAATTCAGTTAGCAACTATCAAACAACATATTACATAGAGGTCTTAGTCGGGTTGTAGTAGGTTTGAATTCAACGAAAATATTAGGATTAACTTATTCCCCTCTACCGAACTTATACACACGAGACCGGTCTTCATACTACGATAATCAACTAGAATTACAAATTTATTCCTCAAGAATAATCAATCTATGTACTCAAATACAAGAAAGAGACACCATGGATGATCTCTAGAATCTGGCAAAGACGAACCCAAGATTGTATTAAAGAGACAATGATTATACAATTAAATATGGGGATAATGACTTGAAAGGGTAACAAACTTTCGACTTTTATCACATTTAGTCACTAAACTTTTTTTCGTTATGTATTTGCCATTGAACTATTGAAACTGTTCACATTTTACCCTTATGACCGGCTGTTACCGGTCATAAGGGTAAAATGTGAACAATTTCAATAGTTTACTAACAAATAGATAATGAAAAAAAGTTTAGTGACTAAATGTGAACAAAATCGAAAGTTCGTTTCACTTTAAAAACTTCAATGACTAAATGTGAACAAACTTCCTATTGTATTATGTTTTAGCAAAATTATTTATTTTTGTTTAATTGTAGCAATATTTGTTGATGAAAAAATCTATGAAATAAAAAAAAAAAATGTAACATCTGGATTTCCAGGTATCATCATTTAAGTATTTTTCTTTTGAGTTAAGAAGAGAGACTCGACGAGTTGACGCCTCAACTCGTCGAGTAAGGTCGCGACTGATGACCCGGATTAATGAATGGACTCGACGACTCAGTGAGGCGACTCGACGAGTCCGCGCTGTTGGCACAAACCCTAAATCTTTGGGCTCGAGCCATATTTAAAGGCAATTCCGGCCTTCAATTGCGACTACCTTTCCCATAAGTGAGAACCCTAGCGAGCTTGAGTGTGTAGAGTGAGAGGAAGAGCTATCTGGAGCTTTTTGGTGTGATAGATCTGGACCCTTCTAGGTTCAGAGAGCCGAGAATATGAAGCTTTAGTAGAGTAAACCTTGGGCTTCAAAGTTAGGAAGCATTTATGGTATATATGAAGTATGAAGTATTTTATATAAATTACGTACTATGTGTGCATATTATTTGAATACTTGTTGTCTATGCTAGATGAACAATTTTATACATGTTTTAAAAGATTTAAACGGTATATTTATTTTATATCTACAAATATGTTGCGGATGAAACATGGGTAGATGAAATAGTTGGTGTGTGATGAAATAAAATGATGAGAGATAGGTGATGATAGAAAGGTGGTGATAATTAGGTAAATAGATGATGATGAATGTGTGATGTAGGATGAAAGGAGATACCATAACCTTAACCAGCAATGTGGCGATGTAGTAATCTACCATAGTATAGATGGCGACCACGGACTATTCTAGACAACCCAGTGGAAACACCAACAGGCCCATAACCTGTAGGTGATGAATTACGAGTTCAGGCGATGTTGTAACTATGTATTCATGTGATAATACTCTAACCCCTTACTATGAATTATGAGTTCAGACGATGTTGTAACTACATATTCATGGGATGTCACAAATTTCGCATGCCAAACCAATGGTCATAATTCACATCAATGAGAATGGTTCATTTTTTTGTAAAACCAAAATCAGATTGGAAATTTTGATTTTTTAGTTTGGAAAATGTCAAACCATTGGGTTTTTATTTCGGTTTTGATTTTTTGTTTTTTTAAAAATATATTTTCAGGGTTTTGTTTTGTTTTTTTTTAATTTCATAGATTTCTTCATTAACAAATATTGCTACAATTTAACAAAAATAAATAACTTGCTAAAACATAATACAAGAGGAGGCTTGTTCACATTTAGTCATTGAACTTTTTAAAGGCAAACGAACTTTCGATTTTTTTCATATTTAGTCACTAAAATTTTTTTCGTTATCTATTTGTCATTGAACTATTGAAACTGTTCACATTTTACCCTTATGACCGGCAACAGCCGGTCATAAGGGTAAAATGTGAACAGTTTCAATAGTTCAATGACAAATAGATAATGAAAAAAAGTTTAGTGACTAAATGTGATAAAATTCGAAAGTTAGTTACCCTTTCAAGTCATTATCCCTTAAATATGAAGCAGTGTTGTAAAAATCCCGACTAGGTCTCGATTAATATCTCGTTAATCATAAGTGTTACCCAACCGACTAGAAGACGCCTAACGATTAATCGCTACCTATAGAATGATTGAACAAATGATGAAATTTTAATCCTTTGAATCATTTTTATCTCATTAGAAACTATATTTGAGTAATGATTACTATTGTATTAATTATATTAGCTTATTTTG